AAAAAAAAAAAAAAAAGATAGGTATGTGTTTATAGGAAAAAACATAGTATATATAGGGTTTGGTAATGATTGCAGTTGAGATATCCACTGGGGGTCTTAGAACACATCCCTGGCAAATAAGGGGAGACTACTGTAAGTGTCCTGGCATGATTCCCCTGGAATTATCCTGGTGGGGGTTGCTCAGCTTCTTGAAACTGTAGGTTTGTGTCTTTCACCCAATTTGGGAAGTTTTCAACCATACTTTCTTCCAATACTCATTCATACCCACTCTCTTTCTCCTCTCCTTCTGGGACTCCAAAGATGCAAATGTTGGAATTTTGGTTACTGTCCCATATGTCTTTGAAATTGTTCATCCCTCCCCCCCTCCAGTCTATTGCCTCTTTGTTGTTACATTGAGTACATTTTATTGCTTTATCCATAGTTCACTGATTCTAGCCTCCGTTACCTCCATTCTGCTATTGAGCCTATTTAGGAAGTTTTAAAAAGTTTACTGTATTTTTCAGTTGTATAATTTCCATTTAGATCTTTTTTATACATTTTATTTCTTCGCTGAATTTTTTTAACTTTTTATTTCAAAAAATGTAAGTGCTTGCTGAAGTATTTTTATGATGGCTGCTTTAAAATCTCTCTCAGATAATTCCAACATCTGATTCATCTCAGAGTTAGTTTCAATTAATTGTCATTTCTTGCTGACATATCTCTAAACTGTGGATCCTAATTAGCCGATATCTGCTCCAGAGCTCAGGTCTGGCCCATGCCTTTGAATCTCCTGGCCCAATGCAGTGCTGGTCCCCTGGGATAAGTCTCTTCTTAAGGAAATATTTTATATTAGCTTTTGAGATACAAGACTCAGTTTGGATGTAAGAGCTATGGTTTTATATTTTCATCATTCCTTGTGAATTCTATTTAATAATCTCTTAATTTCACCTTTCTAGCATTTAAATGTTTTAACTTTGGTGTATATATATTTTCCACCCCAGTTATTTCTCTCTCTCTCTCCCTCTCTATCCCCTGCTCTCTCCCTCTCTCTCCCTCTCTCTCCCTCCCCCACTCTCCTCCAAAGGCACCTTCATTTATCTTCCACATCAGTGTTTTCAAGAGTCTCTTTTCTCATCTTTCTCATCCCTAAACACTTTCCAGTTTCTTTGATTTCAATAGGCAGAATGAATCTTGTGCTTTAGGAGGAATAGGCAAATGACTTAATACTTGAAATTCTCACCCTATTTCCTCCCTGCCCCCAAGTTCTTCTGGCCCCAACTTATTTCTGCATGAACCTGATACATTTTCCAAACTGAAATTGGCTCCTCTTTGGATTAAAGTGCTCGTGACCATTTCTAAAAAGCCATTGTTAAAATGCTCAAAGATGACAGGATTATGTGTATACAGTCTTCAGCATTAGTATATGAAGGCTGATAGCTGTCATTTATGGTTCGCCTATTGCATTAAACATGCCTTCTAATAGTGCTGCAAGGAATAGCTCCTTGGCTTCTCCCCATAACGCTTTCTCATAGGCATCAGCTCCCCTTCTACAGAAAAAGTAATTTCTCAAGAGCCTACAGTTCCAAGGCATAGTAAAGTGTATTCAGAAGAAGGAAAAGGGAAACACACAAACATTCTAAACAGTTTTTTCTTGTTTTTTTGGTTTTTTTTGTTTTATCTCTAAAGCATGTGCTCTTGATCTTCCTACCCAACCCCAGATCGAAGGATGTGCCTTCGGGTAGGAAAAGAGCTATGAAAAAAATTTCACTGATGAGTAATAAATAGAGTATCGGCTTAATGACAGAATGATAATACCAGCAAAAGAAGATTTGAAGTTAGGAGAACTAGGTTTGAGTATAGGCCCATCATTTATGAGCTGTGTAACATTGAACAAGTAATTTTATCTGCTGTACTAGCTTTCTTTTGCCATGTAACAAATTGCCAGAAATTCCTGGGGCTTGAAACAACACCCCCAACTACAGAACTCACAGTTCTGTGGGACAGAAATCTGTGGGCTCGACTGGGTTCCTTGCTTAATCAAGGCTAAACTCAAGATGTTTGCTGGTCTGTGGTCTTACACATACTTTCTAGAGAAGAATCCGCTTTGAAGTTCTTTTAAGTTGTTGGCAAAACCCAGTTGATAGCAATTATAAGCTTAAGGTCCATCATATTTTGTTGCTGGCTGCCACTCTCCCCACCTGTCCTGATTTTCTTACAAGGTTTATGTGAAGATCAAATGAGACCCACTGTCTCAAAGGGTGGTGATGAGTGTGATAGATGGCTTAATGTTGCTGCATTTAGAGGGCAACCCTCAACGCTCTTACATAGAACCTGTCTACCATAGGAAATCCTACCAGGAGACAGGTTCTGAAGCCTCTTATAATAGGAGTCTTAGTAGGGCGAACCCCACAGGGGCCAGTGCCTGTGGACCTAGGAATCCCCCCACCTCTGCTCTGTCTTGGGCTTTGGGTACAGGCACTCTCGGGTGTGGGGGACGCCGGGCGGACAGTGGGGGAGGGGTGGGCGCGCATCTGGGCTTGACCAGCGCTGCACGGCTGGTCCCCCCCTGCATACTGTGCAAATGGAGTCTCCCAGCCTGCGCCCGCTGGTTCCAGTGCTTGCATCGGAGTCCAACAGTTGGAGCATTTCTGTCGGAGCCTCGCAGCGTTGCGGTTGTACCTGCGCTCCAGTTACAGCTCCAGGTACGTGATCAGTGGCGCGTTGGCTGCAGCCACCAACGCCGCCTGGGAGAGGAGCGAATTTTCCCGCTAGCCCTCTGGGTTTTCTCCTCGCAGAGAGGTAAAAGCCATCTTCTGCATTTTTTCAGGCACTAGGTTGTTGCGGGTGGGAACTGGCAGGCTTGTTGTCCGCAAAGCGGGTGGTTATCTATCCCTGGACGACACGCGTGTGGATAGTTGCTGCGGGCAGGGGGTCTCTATTCGCGCCACGAGCGGAGCATCCTGGCCCTAGTGGGCTCCTTGGATGCCCCTCGCCACCTTCGTAACCACACCCTGCATCGTGGTGTCCGCGGCAGCCAACCCTTGCCCGCCGTGATTGATCGGTGTCAGAGACACTGACAATTTTTAATACCCGAGGAACAGCGCAACAAAGGCTTATTAGGCAAGGGAAGGTTTGGTAACATCGCTCCAGTGTGTGTGTTTTAAGGGTTGGCAAGCTGTTTTTACAGCTTATTCTGCAGTTAGAATGGAGTAATATGTTGTAAAAGCAAACTAACCGTGCGTGGCCACGGGGTAAGGCATCCTCGTTGGAGGTGCTGAGTGAGCCTCCTCGCCAGCACTACCTTTCGTGGGTCCCTCGGGTGGGCAGTGAAGCAGGCTCAACCCCAGATGTGGGGTTGGGGAGCAAGCTGTCCAGGCAGACGCTGTGACAACGTTCCTGATTTGTCCCGTCTCTCACGCTCCCTTTCTTCCTCCCTAGGCTTTGCCTACCGCTGGCTCAGTGCGCGAGAAGTTGTGCACAGGTCTCGGCGCCAATTCCCGACAATGGGCAACTCCTGCTTTGGCTTCAAGGAAAAGCTGATGCAGCGGCTGCGGCCTCTGCCCACTCTGCTGATCATTCGCGCCTTCGTTCCGCAGAGGAGGAACAAAGATTACTGCGTGGTGATCCTCGGCTCCGCGGGCGTCGGCAAGAGTGCACTGGTGAAGAGATGGGTGCGCGGCAACTTTCGTGACAAGTACGTACCAACTACGGAAGATACCTACCACCAGGTGCCGGGCGGCAATCGCGGCACGGCCACGCTGCATATTACCGACACGGCTGGCGGTCACCGCCACCCGGGCTTGCAGCGCCTCGCCATCGCCAGGGGCCATGCCTTCATTCTGGTCTACTCGGTCACCAAGAAGCAAACCCTGGAGGAGCTGAAGCCCTTCTACGAGCTGATCCGCGAGATCAAAGGTAGAAACCTGCGTAAGTACCCTATCGTGCTGGTCGGCAACAAATGCGATGACAGCCGCCGCCGGGAGCTGACGGTGAGGGATGGTGTTGCCTACGCGATGGAGTGGAATTGCGCCTTCATGGAGACCTCTGCGAAGACGGATGTCAATGTGCAGGAGCTGTTTCACATGCTGCTGAACCACGCCAAGAAGCCCACCACCTGCCTCCAGCCTACCCAGAAGAAATCGCAGATGCCCAAGGTCGCTGAGAAGTTGCTTGGCAAGTGCATCATCATGTGAGCCTGGGTCTTAGGAGCCTGACCTTCTTGTCCCGCAGTGTGCAGAAAATGTGGACCAATGCCAGTGTTATGTGTCACCTGTACATGACTGACTTGTGCTGTGGTTTGGATTGTAATCGCTAGACATCAATAAATGTCCCTTGTAAGTTAATAATATTTCTTTTTCCCAGGCAAGAGAGTTCCAACTGCTGTTACACTGATATTGCAGGAGGAGGGGGAGAAAAGGAGCACGATGCATTTAAGGCATAAGACTTGACAGACTTCAGAGATTAATGTTTGGAAAAAAGAATGAAATAGTAAAATGAGTTGAAAGATGTTACCGGCCTTCTTGTAACCCTATCATCATGTATTATTTTTAAACATGTCAAGTCCTGTAAATGCCTAATTACATCTTTCCATTGTGTATGTAATTGTTAAGAATTGTGTGTTTGTGACAAAAGCTTTGACAGATGACTGTGAGATACATATGCTAAACATGATAAATAAATGAATATTCTATAACTGAGCATTGAGGGTGGGGGCAGAGAAAAATGATGAAAGTGGAACTTGCTAATGAAAGATGTGCCAGTTTCCTAAGTAATTTAAAAATGTTTGGGCATTCTGCATAGCAGTTTTTAAAAAGCATAACAGTTCCATGACTTAATAAAGCTTTTCCTGCATGCAATCAGCTGTAATATTTCTTTTTCCATTGGACAACAAAAAAATTACCCATAGCATTAAAATTTCAATCACATCTGGGGAAGGTTTCTAATAAGAATTTCACACATGGATACCCTTGCCCTCTTGAAATTAACCAGGGGTTGGGGAGCTGGGGATGGTTAAAGGGGTTACTGCAATGCAGAGCTGGTTTGTATCCATAATCTTTTCTGGACTGACATCAGAACTCCAGGGGTCTTTGAAGAGGAGGCTCACTCTTGCTGTCTTGGAGGTACTGGCGAAACGCAAACCTCAGTCTTTGGTTGCCTCAAAAGTCTTCCCTTAAGAAATACTGGATGTAGGGGGATGGAAGGTAAGGGGACAAATGGATGGGATTTGAAATGTGAGAAACTCCTCCTTAAGGTGAGTTTTTAAAAAGATTAATTTTATATTTGAACATCATTTTTGAGTGAGGGACTACACATCTACTATCCTTGCTTTTGAGTTTGTTTGTTTTTTCCATTGGGAAGAGGTAGAGGAGGCTTTTAATCTGGTGATTTTTTCCCCATAATATATTATTAGACACATATTGAACAATTTATATGTGTTTTTAAAAAATGGTTTCATATATCTTGATTTTTCAGGGAACAAACACACTATTGAGAAGCAATCATAAACATCTATTTCATAATAGTACAATCTAAGTTTTGAGCTTGAAAAAATCCATTCAGAGGATCCTTTTAGTCAATTATTTAAGATTTTCCCTATTACTTTCAATTATTCTCAACCATTAGAAATTATGTAAGTGGTTGTACCATTTGTTTTTTTATGTATTCTATTAAAAAAACCAGTTCTTAGCTAAAGTTCCTAATAAAGTAATCCCATTTCTTAAAAAAAAAATACCCTATCTTGGCTATTTTCTGGAAGAATTCTTGAAAAATGTATTGCATTCATTGGTGCTCCTTGTAGATGAGCAGGGATTGCTAAATGGCAAATACTACCCTTTAGAAAGGAGAAGACATGGTTTTAATGTTGCAAGTAATGCTTAGTGTAAAATATTTTAAGGTAGTAAATATTTATATAGCCTTATCTACATGCCAATGTTTCTACACTGCACTGGAGAAAATATTTACAAATTATTTCCACATGCCAACGTTCTACGTTATATTATTTAATCCTCACAACAATCCAATGAAGCGGATACTGTTCTGCCCGTTTTGCAGATGGAAACAGTGATAAAGGTCACAAAACCAATAAGTTGGCAGAGCCAATTTTTGAAGCCAGAGTCAGCTGTCTTAACCACGATGGTGTTCTTCCTTTCTAAGATGACTAGTCAAAGGATAAATAAATGACTTTTCTGTGCTCTATTTGTATTATACAGATGTGGAATAGAAAGCTTCCTCAGAGCCTCCGTACAATCCAGATGGGAGGCAAAGAAGCAAACCAACACTTAACAACATACATGGGGGTTTTTAAAACAGGGAAGAGAAGCACTTTACTCAGGGCATTGGAAAACAGGGCATTTCCCCCAAGAGATCACATGACTGGAATCTTTTATGCCTGGTAGGCGTCAGTTTATGCCTGGTAGGAGTGGGTGTGGGTGAGAGAAGGAGAGCAAGACATTTCAGGCAGAGCAGTGTGAACAAATGCGGGGTCTGAGAGATCAAAGCATATTTCCAGAAATGGATGGAGCAAACTGTGGTAGATGAGCTGGAGTTTAGAATTTATCCTCTAGAGGTAATGGGGAATTACTTAAGGAAGTAAGCAGGTGTCATCATATTTGCATTAAAAAGAGATCCCTTCAGAGTATCTGTAACAGGCACTGAAAAGAGGCCGGTAGACAAATTTAAAAACAAAAGAGTTAATTTTGAGAAAATGCTCTAGGCATTGCCAGAGGGATGGAGACTAAGGGATGGATTTGAGAACTATTTAGTAGGGAGAATGGCCAGAGCTTTGATGCGTAGAAGTTAGGAGGAAAGGAAAAAACTGACATGAATACCATGATTTTGAGTGGGATTCCTGGTAGGCTATGGAATCATTAAGCAAGTTCAGAAATGCAAAATAGACCTGATCTGGGGGGAACACCTATTTGCACGTGCACATGAGGATAATAAGTTACATTCTGGGTAACAGTTGTCAGGATAGCCAATTGCAGGTTTCCAATGAGAACTACTGGGTTGTCGGAAAAGTCATAGAGCATTTTTGCAACGAAAAACAGAAAAAACACGTCTTGACTTTTCCAACAACCCAATAGATAGGCATGAGGGGCTGGAGACAATAGCTGGTGGTAAGGCTGTGAAGGGAGAAAAGAGGAGGCAAGATAAAAGGACTTAGGACAGAATCCTGGGGAAGACAAGCACTTGGAAAGCTTCTGACCAAGACGAAGCTGACAGACACTTAGAAGTGACCAAAAGGTAAAAGGAAACTCATAATGTGCAGCAATAAATGCCGAGGGAGAAATGAGTTTCAAGGAAAAGCATGTACTCTATCATAGCAAAAATTTTTAATAAATACCGGGGGTGCCAAAAACACGTATACAAGTGGACACTTTGGTCAGAGCTGCTCAAGCAGTAGTTTGCCATAATCAGAAGTGTCTGGATGCTGATGGTAACCACTTTGAGCACTTCTTGTAACTGCAGAAGTCAAACGTGACTTGTGTTCATCTTTTGTTATTGGTATATATTGAGCATTACAATTTTAATACAGTTTTCCTTTCTTAAAATGTGTATACATTTTTTTGGCACCCTCTGTAGAATGAGGATTAGAAAGTTGCTTAGATATAGCACTTAGGAGATTTCTGGTTCCATCTAAGATAAGAGTATCCCCATTCCTCCCAGGTTCTCCTTAAAACTTAAATAACCCCACACATAACAAACAAAGGAAAATACTTAACAGTGGAAAGCAGTGGAATGCTTGGGAATCTCAGGATGAGGAATGACATGATGGTGATTTCTCTGAGTTTCCTCATTGTCCCCATCCGTCCTGGACAGGATACCGCAGAAGCCCCCAGGTTAGAACCACCAACAGGCACAGATCAAACAACGTGCCAAAAAAGCACATTTCTCCTAGCTAAAGGCCCAGGAAAAGGGTGGTTTAAGAACAGAAAACCTTTTTGGCAATATGCACCCTACTCCAGACAAATACCAACAGCAAAACCCCTGCTCTCTTTCCTACCCTCAGAGGGAACTGGTCTTCCACTCCACTATACCACGCCCTGTGGGGGCAGATGTCAGTCTTCTGATGTCCCCTCCTGGTACTGGACAACAGGACAGAGCAGGGAGCGAATCCCTCCCATAGTGGTAGATTTCCCCCTACCCCTTCCCCGCTGACAGGGGAAAGTTGGAGGGGCCAGCAGGGAGTGAATGCTCTCAGTCGCCTTCTAGGTTTCTGTCAGCAGGTGCTTTGTGCAAAGCTGAGCCTCCATCTCCACCTGTCTGTCAGCAGTGAGACCTAAGGAGGCCTCGCGAGCAAGTCAACCCTATTGTTCTCGACCACACCCACCCCACACCCACCTCCAGGGATCTCAGCTTCCTTGACTATAATACAAAAGTTTGGGACAAGTTGAGCCCTCCTAAAAATCACACATGATAGAGAAACTTTATTACTGCGTGGATGGGAGCAGGGAGGTTATAAATCATTCTAAATATTCTTTGAGCTAATGGTATTATTCAAAGGAGCTGGCACCTATAGCTTCTATTTCACCTTATGCAGTATAGTAGCCTATAGCCTACATGACTTCTGCGCTTGAAATATGGCTAGTCCAGAGGGAGATGTACTGCAAGTGTAAAACTATACTCTGGACTTACCATGAAAAAAATGCATATAGAATATCTCTTAATGTTTTATATTTATTACATGTTGAAATGATATTTTAGATATAATGGGTTAAATAAACTATATTGTTTAAATTAATTTGGTGCTTCTTTTTACTTTTTAAAATGTGGCTACCAGAAACTTTTAAATTATATTTGTGGCTCATGTTTGTGGGTTATGTTAGAGTCTTGTTGGGCAGTGGTGATCTACATTAAGGGTGGCTATGAGAACTAATTTCTAGTTTGAATTTGATTACATGCATTAGTTAGGATCGACAATCAAGTGTCAAAAGATGTTAGCATGTATTTAAAATAACATGTATTGTCAGATGTCCAAGTAACTTCACAAAATTCAAGATTAACAGAAATGTAACAAAATCCACTGAGAGGTAAGTTTGTATATAAATGAATTTGAGCAGTACATCTATAAGCTACATCTATAAACCTGGGTCCACAGTCCCAGAGTTTGGAAAAATAAATACGTCAGGCAGTGAATTCAGGGAGTTGGTGAAGATTAAAATAAATGAAAACTGAAAATATGCCCACAGCACTGATATTATGTTTTCCCAGGCTACTGATACTGACAAACCAGCCATCCATTTGACATGAAGAAGTAAAAAAAAGTGGAGAAAAGAAACCTGATGCGGAAATAAATACAATTTTGTAAAATGAGATTCAGTAAATGTAACTATTTGACACCAGTGTTGTGGGCATATGTGGGCGTGTTCATAGCGGCTCATCTGCTTTGTCCTCCAGGTTAATGGATGTGGCCTAGACTGTATCTCACAAACTCAGAGTAACATTAGAATCTCTCCTGTTCTGCCTCCATACTTCCTTTCCAGTATCTTCTGTGAGCACATCACACCATGTACCCTTTCCCCAACAAACCCGGACAATTTGCTGTTCCCCCAAACATCCTACTCATATGTCATCGTTCCTTTGCTGTTTGTTCACACAAGGTAATTTACTTACATTTTCTTCTATCAAAATTTTATTCACCCTTTAAAATCCAGCCAAAATACCATATACCACTCCCACTGAAGGCTTCCCTGTTTTTCAGTAATTCATAGATTTTTTTTTTTTAAGAATCAGCAGTAGGCTGGCACTGTGCCACCCCCTGGGCTACAGGGTCCCCGCCTTCAAGAAGCTCATCATCTAACAAGGGAGACAGGGAAGAAAATAACACAGCCCAGCAGAGTGAGAGAGGTGTTCTAAG